ACCGGATTTTGAAATTGAAAGAGTTTACCTCAAAAAGTGCTCTGGCGGCAAAATTAGACCGTTCTAAAGTGCGAAAAAAAACGCAATTTGCCCTTGACATGGTCATCTTTTTGAACGTATTCGAAAATCCATTGCTGGAAGTGCTCCTTGTCTTTCATATTTCTGCGAAAGTAATGAAATCATTGCAAGTATTGTTCTTCTTCTGTTTTTGCAGTAGTGCATTCATTTGAAACTTGGAGACATAGTGAGAAGAATAGCAACGACGACCGGCATAGAAGAGAAACTTTTAGTCGAAATCCTAACTCAGAATGACCTCTACAAATGTGCTCCGAACAAACGAGGAGAAGTGTTAGTAAATCCGTTACTTTCACAAGAAAATGAGAGACAATGGGCACTTCCAGTGCCGCGTTTTTGAGCGCACACCAGTCGAACGTATAAAAAATTTCACTGCATTATGCTACAAAGCCCTAAGAACAAAAGTAGCAAGACAGTACTCGCAGTCAAAAAACAGTACTGAGCGTGATGTATATAGGTTAGAAAGATTCAATAAACAAGCAAACCGAAAGTAATCATCATAGTAAGTTTTTCTAAAAAAAATTTTGTGAAATTGTTTAAAAGTAAATAAATTTTAACTATTTTCCTGTTACTGGAGTATTAGACTTGAAAAATCTTATAAGAATTACATATATTAAGAAAACAAGTAAAATTTCAGTGGAAAGAGGATCTGAAGCATGCGAAAGCGCCAAAATTTTGCTGGAACTAGGTGTTTTTTCCAGCTTACTATTATCTATCGTACCATAACTCTTGATGCCGAAAAGATACCACCTCACAATTTTCATATGTTGTGTAGAAAGTATTTCTTTAGGGAAAATGTCTTTCTTAAAAAATTTAAATAGTCTGTTTTTGAGAAAAATAGTTTTGAATTTTTGTTTTTATTTTACTTCAGAATAAAATTTGCTAATATACTCGTTTTACCATTCTTCTGAATTTACTGAAGACAAGCTTTCAAAAGAAGTAAAAATGGAAAAAATCCGTTGTGAATTGCGAGAAATATAAGTTGTTAAAGATGACCATGTCGAGGGTGAATTGCGTTTTTTTTTCGCACTTTAGATCGGTCTAACTTTGCCGCCAGCGCACTTTTTGAAATAAACTCATTTGATTTCAAAATTCGGTATCAACTTGCTACAAGTTAGTAAAAAATGAAAAAATCTTAGAGGTTGAGGTGCGAACTTGTGCAATTTGGCGTGGAATGGTCCGTATATATTTTTAGCCTGAACATTGACATATAACTCATGTAATATTCAGAAATATATGACAGACCTTATAATAAAATGTTTCGCACATATCCTGAAAAAAATAATCTTTCTTAAAAAAATTACATGTAAATGCATACTAATAATTCTTGTTTTATTAGACGGGAGCTACTTGGACAGTTTACTGTTAATTTTTTGCACAATTTTTGAAGAGAATTTTAAAGCTGCATAATGTTACCCTACTTGGCTATATTACCGAGATTTATTTGCAGAGGAACAACGCCGGAATTATAAAAGCAGTTAATCTTGCATCTCTCAGCGTATAAAAATACTTAGCTACTCTGAGTAGCTAAAGAGAGACCGACAATAAAAAACGACTTGAAACTGTTTGCCTAGAAGCACTTAAAGCATCAGTACTATAAAGCTCAAAATTAAAAAATTCAAATTCTTGTCTGATTTCAAAGAAATCTTACTGTTCTGCTTTTCTAAATTAATTCCATTGACTAACAGTATGCCACATTAAATAAACAGCTGAATAAATGATAATAATCTTATTGAAACACTGAAAACTGTGATGTGTGTGTCGTGATTGCAGACGAAATCCAAAAATTTGAAGAGTCGCCCTAGTCAGCTTCTCTCCTACAGTGTCCTATGGGACTTTTCTACTACTCTCTCTACTGTAAACTCAACCAGTCCTTGAACCTACAGCGAAAACCTATAGCTACCTTGATACCTTGTTTCTCGCTTAAGACTTT